GAAAAAGAAAAATCCCAGCACCCACAGTATCGGTCCGGAGACCCAAAGAGAGAGCACGAACAAACAACGAAACCCGGCACTCCAGCCTTCCAGGAGAAATGCCATTTATAGGTGGCTGGGTTTTTTTTTCCCCTGAACCAGGTGTATGTTAAAGAAACACTCTCCTTCTTCCCATTAAAAAAAAAAAAAACAAACCAACAAAAACAACAAACCCAAACCGCAACCCACTGGCCCCCTTACTCTATTTTACAGGGTGCCTGAGTCTGCTAATGTCCCAGTCCTTTATAGCATTTCATGCACTTCGGGGGGTAGACTTGTTGTTAAATTGAGCGTGTAACGCTCTTACAAAACAGGTTTCTCTATGACATCAAGGTTTCTCTCCCTAACCAAGCGCGCACACACAATAAAAAAAAAAAAAAAATCCTGGGAGGGGGGGGGGGGGGCGGGGGGGCCACACTATCTCAATTTATGCCTAAGGTATATGATCAGTTAAAAAGGCTTAAAAGCAGGGGCAAATTGGATCAGGGAGAATCGTCACCCAACTTTCATTATTTCCAAGTAGCGTGATTGAATTAAAGGGCAGGGAGCTGGTTAGAAGGGAGGATCGAGGGGCTCGGTGCGTAATGGTGTGGTATTAAATTCTAATTAGAGATGCAGGAATCAGCGATAGGGAGGTTGGACAGCTCGGTCCCCCAGTGCCAGCCCAATAGACTGATGAGTTATTGTCATGTAAAAAGCGCCAGCAATAAGACCAACCGCTTTGCTATTGTCCAAGTGGAAAGAGCCAAGTTTATTATGAGGACTATATGCTCTAGAGACCTCAGGCAAGGCATCTCATAGGAGGCTTTTTCATAAAACTAGGCTCTGCTGGTAGTAAGGAGGCCACTCTCGAAGCAGGCGTTGAGCTGTGCACATCTCCCCACCACAGGCACCTTCTCCATATATCCAGCTTTTATTTCATTTTTTCCACTTGGCTGAGCCATCCAGAGCCTTTTCAATGTATAAAATGGAATATTCTTACCTCAATTCCTCTGCCTACGAGTCCTGTATGGCTGGGATGGACACTTCGAGCCTGGCTTCAGCTTATGCTGACTTCAGTTCCTGCAGCCAAGCCAGTGGCTTTCAATATAACCCTATAAGGACCACTTTTGGGGCCACCTCTGGCTGCCCATCCCTCACTCCAGGATCCTGCAGTCTCGGCTCTCTTAGGGACCACCAGAGCAGTCCATACGCAGCAGGTAAGGACCTCCAGCTTTCTTAGCCCCGGCAGCCGCCTCGCTGCTGGTATATAGGAAGCCTTGATTGCATTTGAAAATGGAAATGTGTTTAGTATTTACCAAACGAAATTTGCTTACACAAATGAAAGAATTTATCACGTTAGAAGCGATTGCAGGGAGGGGTAATTCACTTACAGGGTTACACTATCCTAGTCACACCCGAACCGCCAACAAAATTATCTTAAGCTGCCAAAATGATAGGCATAATTTATTTACTTTGCGATGAGACGTAAAGCTTAGAAAATAATTAAATAACCAAAGAGTAAAGCTCATTACCGACACTGTCTTAAAAAAAAGGAAACCCAACCCAACAGCAGCAGCAGCGCAGACCAATTTTTCGCCGGTCATTATTTTTACAGCACTTTTTACCGAAACCTCTTTGAACAGGATCAGCTGGTAAGACTAGAGAAATCCAAACAAATATCGAGGCAGTTCGGTAATATCATTACTGGGTGACAGCTAGCAAGCAGCCTGATGTTTCCTTCAATGCTTTCTGGCACTTTCAATCATTTTTTTTTTCCCTTCTCCTCCTGAATCTTTGGCTTTGAGCAGGGACCAGCCGGTGCGTTGTGGCTGGGTTCCGGCATTTTAAAACCCTCACATTTAACACATCCTCGCAGTCAGCCTTTCGCATACATATTTAGCGTTAAACTTTCTCTCTCTCCGAATTTAACCCCCTCCTCGTTGTGTCTCTCCGCAATGACTACCGGACTCCTGCGCTTTTTCAGGCGCAGTAGGATCGTTCACCAGGATGCGGCAGTTTTTTAAAGCACCGTTCGTCTTTCCGGACAAATATCTTTGGGAAAGCTACCAATGTGTAGTTACCGGTTTTTCACATGTTTTTTTTTTTTTTTTTTTCCTTCCTCTTCTTCCCTCTTTTCCTTCTTCAGTTCCTTACAAACTCTTCACCGACCACGGGGGCTTAAACGAGAAGAGGAAACAGCGGCGGATCAGAACCACCTTCACCAGCGCCCAGCTCAAGGAACTGGAGAGGGTGTTCGCAGAGACTCATTACCCTGATATATACACCCGGGAGGAGCTGGCGCTGAAGATAGACCTCACGGAGGCGCGGGTGCAGGTACGCGCGGGATGCGGGTGGCGGG